AAATTATATATAGAACATTTTTGTTATATAAATAAAAGTAACAAAATAAATGTATATAAAATTTATATATTAAAGTGTTAATAACGTATCTCGTGATAAATATTTACATAATTTTATTTTTAAAAAACAATATATATATATACGGGCCGGGTCAATTCCCCATGAAAGAAACTGGAGGGAAAACGGTGCGGGCCCACTAACATGAAACACACCATGAGAGGGAAAACCCATATGAAGCCCAAGTGGGGTTCCATCCCAAAACCAATTAGTGGAAGGAAGAATAGCCCATTAGACTTATAAGGTGAGTCTATTTTCCATGTACGAACGATGTGGAACAACTCACAAGTGATATTCTAACACGCCTCCTCACTTGTGAGTACTTCGGAAGCCCAAGCCCAACTGGGCACCCCAAGTCTACTAGAAGCAGACTTTCTAGTAGACTACCATAAACGGGTACGTGGGGAAGCAGACTCCCATAAACGGGTACGTCATTGCACGGTCTCAATAGAACCGACTCTGATACCATGTAAGAAACTGGGGGAAAACGGGTGCGGTCCCACTAACATGAAGCGCACCATGAGAGGGAAAACCCATATGAAGCCCAAGTGGAGCTCCATCCCAAAACCAATTGGTGGTAGGAGGAGTAGCCCACTAGGCTTATAAGTTAGGCCTATTTACCCTATCAAATCAATGTGGAACAACTCACAAGTGATATTCCAATACGCCCCCTCACTTGTGAGTCCTTCATCAGCCCACGCCTCCAACTAGGCCGAGTATATTTTTCAGCCCACGCCTACAACCAGGCCGGGTATAATTTTCAACCCACGCCTACAACCAGGCCGGGTAGCTTTTTTTTTTTTTTTTTTTAGCAGGTCCCTAATAAGCCCGCTCTGATACCATGTCAAACGGGGGCAATACGAGTGCGGTCCCACACAAGTGAAGCGCACAAGAAGCGCACTTGGGCTTCATGTTCGGTGACCCGAAAAATGTTCTATATATAATTTTAAAAATTTAAAATTAATTATTTGGTTCAACAATTGACTCGGTGACCCGAAAACTTGCTGGGTCGATTACCGGGCCAGTTTAAAAACTATGGTTTCAACACCTTCAGCTGGATTGAAGAGTTAAATTTCGTTCTCTTGGTATTAAATTCTAGAAAATAATCACGTGTGGCCATTTCACCATTGCCAAGCGGCCAAGGAATGATCAACATTGACTGAAGGACCTGTAAAAGTTGAATGATTTCTGTAGTTTTTGGCATCTAATGGTTTGAATCTTAGTGCCTGCAATTAATTATATAATGCAATTAAACAGTAGATACTGAATCAATTTGGTGGAGCCAGGTTGTACGAACTATTTAAATCCTATCTCAATTGTGAATACAATCCTCCCTATATATAATTTCCGAATGCGCTGAGCTTACGTGGTTGCTTGTGGTGCTTCAGAATCCTATTTTGTGAAAAATCATGCTTCGTAATTAGATTTGGATAAATAATATTGATATATTAATAATTAATTAATAATCTAGGTTCGAGTATTCCATAAATATTATTTAGCTAACTTACGTATTTTAATATCACTTTTACTAATATAACTCTTTAATTCTTTGTAATTTTACATAGTGAGACACTAAGCGACTAATATATCCCTGAATTTTGATTTATTTCCTTCAATAAGCTATTGAATTATAAATGCATTTTAAAAGTTGATAACTTTTGTATTTCTTATCGGTTTTACATATATAATATATCAAATTAATCATCTTTTGATGATCTTCGATTTGACATCCATATTATATATATGAAATAAGTAAATTATATTTATCTTTATAATAATAAAAAATAATAATATTTATTAAAATTCATTAGAAAAATAAATTATTTCTCAATTGATATATTTATATGTAATGTGTTATATATTATAAGTTAAAAAAAAATTTAGTATAATATAACACAAGTAAGTTGCACAAATAAAAAGTGTCAAAATAAATTATATAATAATATATATATTCTTATAAAAAGTATTTAAATTTTCAAACTATTTTTTCTCATTAATTTTAGATTTTAAGAAAAAAAATTAGCAAGCACCCGTGTAATACACGGGTGTTGTATTCATAAATAATACAAATTAGGAAGCAGTTAAACAGTCGAATAAATTAATTATTGAGCTGAATTTAGTTAGGAGAACTACGCTAGCGGCAGTCTAAAGTCTACCCAAACTAACTTCCAACAAGAAAATACGAAACTTTCACAAGTGCAGACTATGAATTACACACTTCCCAACGGAAGAGAAAAAACAAAACACAGGATAAAATCTAATAGCTAGATTAAAGCCCTGTCCACTTGCCGTCAAACCACTCCAAAACGCCTCAAACAAACCCAACACCCAAGCCAACTACCTAAGAAGGCCCGATCTCAGCCCACACAAATTTAAAAACTCTCATACCGGCTAACTAGATCTGGACCAGCATACTTGATTCCTTCCCAAAAGGTCATATACTAGGAAGAGATGTTCAGATCATATAACTTCAATCTGATTGTCTCCAGGATCAACCATACCATGTGGAGGATGACACGTAACCGGAAAAAATATATATCGGATTCATATTCTAATTTATGTTTCATTTTGTTGGATGATTGATACGTTTGTACTTGTAATGTCATCATGGACATGATTGATGCATTTATAATTGTGAGTTGTGACGTCGAGTACATGTCATTCATCCAATGGAATGAAACATGAATTCCACCAAGTACCGTAGCGTGAAATTTAAAACAAAATTGTAGATCTAGTTGACTAGTCGAACTCTTGCGCTCTTGAAATGATCATTGACATAATTCGAGTGTAGCGCCCCAGCAGGCACATTAAGTAAACCTGAAAGCCGTCTTGTTTTTTCTTTTCAATAAGGGTGATCAAATGAACAACTTGAACTTTGGTCATTGTGGTTTCCACTGGAAAAAAGCAGGGCTCGAACTCGAATTCACCTCGAATTCACCGTATTTGATAGATTAAAACTGCAAGAACATCCACAATATATTCCAAAATTCCAATTATATACCAAATAGCAATGCCAACTATATACAACAAATAGAAGCATTACTACTTACGGTGACAATGATGCGATTTAAAAACCGTGTATGACGATGAAAAATGTTTACGAGCTCACAATTGCACTGATGTACATTGGTTCTAAAACAACCTTGCTAGTTGCAGCTAAGTTACTAACTCGTTACCATTTTGCTAAAATGTCAGTAAACTGTTTAACATATATGCATGCATTAATTTTTTTTTTCTTGCTAGAACATTTGAAACATTAAAATCAACAAGATAGCTGGGCAACATTGTGCCGGAACATTCGGTTTTTGAAATTAATGATGCCTGATCAAAGTGATTAAATCCATCAGCGCGCATAAAAGTGAAGACAGAATCTTTCGACAAACCAGAGCTATGTCCTTGAAAAAAAAATAAAAAAAAAATAAAGACTTAGTGTGGACTAACAGCCTGGATGCTGGACTTCTGCTTGGGTACTAGCCACTGTAATCTCCTTCAGAGAACTAAAGCCTCTGCAAACAAAACGAACGAGAATCGTTAGTAGACTGCTTCACAAGTCTCTTCGGGAGAAAATGAATGAAAAGTTGCTTAAAAAAATGAGACAAGATTAACCGAAAAACATAATCTGACAATCTCAGGGGTTTGGTGGCAGCACCAAACATAAAGGATATAACATATAACACAACATCAAAATCTCCATTTACCTGCAAAGCCACCTGTTGCTGGGCATGGAGTAGCACGCTCTCTTGCTCAGGGTTAGGTTGAACACCCTGGTTAGCGCGTCTGACAGTAAGAGTCTTGTTTCCCATCTTCATACCATTGAGAGCCGCACAAGCAATGTCCGTTACAGACGGATCCTCGTAAACGCAAAACGCATAGCCCTTTGAGTTCCCAGTTTCTCTATCTTTGACCAGATCAATACCCCTAAGCGGCCCAAAGGTCTCCAGCAGCTCTCTAACCAGTTCTTCCGTAAAATAGTACATTAAACCTCCGACAAATATGCGGTCTGGGCCTTCAAGCCCACCAGAAGATCCTGGCGTGAGCCCAACAGCAGCAAGATTCAGATTGGGATTGGGCAAACTGGGGCCAAGAGTTGCTGCCAGTGAAGGGTTATAATCACTCGGTCTTCTCACTTTAACCGGTGCACCCTGGAGGAAAGAATTATATGTATGTTGTGACAATGTATAGCATATAATGTTGTAGGCAAGAGGAAAAGTTATATTACGGCTGATGGATTTAATGAAGGTCTTTTAAATTAGCACTTACCTCGAACATAATGCCGTCTAAAGCCATCGCATTGCTGGCCTCCTCAACAGATCGCATCTCCACATAAGCAAACTTCTTGTCGTGGTTGATATAAACATTGACCACAGCATCTCCTGAATGAGGAAAAGAACAAAAAGAAACAAGATAGTTCGATACATTCATAAATGTTAACTTTCGAGTAAACGAATGAATAAATAAATAGCAATTGTAAATGTATGTGAACCAACCTGGACCAGCAGTATTTCCTCCAATTGCTGACATAACATGACTAAAGAAGGTAGCCACGGACTGCCATGAGCGGGGATTACACAATGAAAAAGTGAGAGCATATCATGGGCAAAAAAAAAAAAAAAAACATAAATGCATGAGATGATGTAAATAGTGTTATCAAATGGCGGCATGGCGGATTTTTGACAATCCGCTATGCATAATTTGTGAGTGATGGCGGTCATTGCGGCGCCATAGACGTTACGTGGCCGCCATTAATAACATTGTTAAATCTTTATTTGAATTGACTGAAGAAAGGTGTATCCAGTTTTCAAGGAAAAAAATTATCGCAACATTCGGATATTACTAATATAAGTATGCAACTCTATATATTAATAGCTAGTTAAATATTCAAGCATGTGTCCTAGAATCAATGATACACAACATACTATACTACCTGCTCATTAGCAGTTGCGGAGAGCCCACCAACATAGACCCGCCGAGCATGTCTTGTAGCCCGACCTGCTGTAAATGCTAAACCAAGTTACATAGGAAATATCAAAAAGCTTGAAGCCTTTGTTATATTTAGGTAGCAAAGGTTGAAAGAATATAGATTAATCTTTTTCTTCGTAGATTAAAACCCAGAATACTCTGCTCAACTGTCGTCCTCTGATTAAACTCTTTAACAGGATAGAATATAACAACAATTGTTAATTTCTAAGAACTATCAAGCATGCAAATTGCAATCCTGGTTGAAGATGGACAAGACCGACCTGTTTATTCTTCCTTACGTAAAGCTAAGGAAGTCGGCTCACGCCCATTGTCGTCGGCTATTAGCCCAATATTGCCTTCTTAGAACATTACATAGGACATACAAAACAAACAGACAAACACCAAACACAACAAAAAAAACCAAAAACCCTCTCAGTTTCAATCACCAAGCAAATAATAATAAATAAGAAACTGAATAAAATAACCAATCAACGAACTAGTTAGTACTCCTTACGCTTACCCAATTGAAACCATGCATTTATGATACGCACTAAGTCTAACCAAAGAAAAAGTAACAGTTACCCAAGGGATTATACTCCTCCACCGCGGCATCCGAATCGTCGTCCTCGCCGCGACCGCCGGCTCGACTCTCGCGGTTCGTTTGATCGCCATGCATCATCGTCTGGATACCCAAACGAATGTCCTCAATGTCCGCAGAGAGGTCAGCCATCTCGCGACGATCGTCCTGGTATCTGGATATGCTGTATTGCAGAAGAAGGGAAAAGAGAGAGCAATGTTAAAATCTAAAAAAAACAGATAGTATAATTTTTATTCGATCAAATCTGATCGGCTCTATATATGATCTTGGATGAATAAATAGAGTCCTAATCTCTAAATTCCTATAGCTTGGTACACAAGTAATATGTTCCAAACGATAATTATTATGCTCACAAACTAAATAAGATAAACTAGTACAACTAAATAACGAGAAAAAAGATATTAAACGAGAAAAAAAAAATATTAAATGAGTTACTTTCACAGGTATCATCTATTTTTCACTTTAAAAGATATTAAATGCGTTATTTTCACTGTTATTAATCTATTTTCGCCTTTTTTAGTCCGCATGTTAAGTCTAAACACAATAGGCTTAGTTATAATCTAATCTATTTTCAAACACAATAGGCTTAGTTATAATCTAATCTATTTTCACCTCTCTTAATTAACGTTTTTTGTTTGTCTATCAGAACATTGAATATAAGCATGTTAGGGCTATCATGTAAAATAATATATTTATACTTATATTAAAGGAGATCCTATTTACTAAATATAATAGTTAGAAAAGTCAAACTTAATTAATGAATTTCTAATTTTATCAAGTATTTAATTAATGCATCTAATATTTTGGGTATGCAAATTAAATTAGCATTCAATTAGTTCCTAAAATATTGGGTATGCAATATTAATTTAGGAATATCCATGTAGTTCCTAAAATGTTGATATGCAACACGTAAAAGAAGATTTTTTAATTTTTTTAAATATAAAATATTGCAACACGTAAAACTATTCGAGTTATTTTTTTATTTTATTTTACATATAAAATCTAATCAATATTTAATGCATCCTACAAAATTGGATTTAGTTTAATTCTCCATACAATTTACAATTGGTAACTTTTCAGTTGTACTTTATTTATTTATTTATTTATTTTACACTTTTAATTTAATGAAACTCTCCGAAAATACCAAATCAAATGATTTATGAAAGTTTTTTTTTTGTACAATTTTAAACTATATACCTAGCTCAAAGAACTCATCGCATGGACGAGTTTAAGAAAATTTCATAACCAAACTTACAAAATTTATCTCCACGAGTAAAAAAAAATTACATCTCTCATCTACCGTAACAACTTTAAAGATAAATAAATAAAAGTCTAATTACTACTATAAATCCATTATCTATTTAAATTTTTTTAAAAATCTAAATTTCACCTGTCTAATTGCTAATATTTTAGATACTTTTAAATATTATTTGTATAAATTTTTACACATTTGCTCTCTCTATATATACATATATGGAGGTTAAATGAAGAATTTAAACATGTTTTTCTTACGGGTAGTTTAAAAAAATTTAGGTAGCTTCAAACATTATTTATGAATAATATAGAATATTTTAGATGCTTTTATAGATGTTATAAAATATTTTAAGTATTTTTAATATTTATATATCACACTTAGAAAGAATATTTCGCAAAAAAAAATAAAATTAAATACACATTGTAAATGTTAATAGAAACAGTCTTCAGTGTTCGTCTTTGATCTCAATTACACATAAAATTACTCTTTATTTGTCACATATTTTGGTGTGCATTAATCTCGATTTGTATTTATAAAATTGATAGCTTTTGCATTAATTTCAAGTTGTATTTGTAAAATTGATAAGTTGTTAAGCGTAAAAATTCCTTTTTATGGTAACAACTTAAAAAAATGATAGTAATTTTTGAAATATTGTGTAGTCAAATCTTCATATGGACGCAACATCATAATTATGGTGTCTTATAAATCTTCTCTAAAACAACTTTAGCGTGAAATAATGTCTTAATGTAGACTTATAATAATTTAGATATTTAAACAAAATGTTTAGACATATTTTTTTTACATATTCTATCTATATGTACATATATATACTCACATATACATAACACATGTTAAGTTTTCAGGCCCCGAATTGATAGTTTACCCATCTTTCAGGTCTTGTATTGAAAAACTCCTAAGTTTAATTATTTTTAGACATGTTTTCTTTACAAAATAGTTTAAAAAATCTTACATGCACATCTATACTTATATAAAAAGACATTATATTTACTAGAATTAGTAGTAAGAAAAGTCAAAAGTATTTAATTCATTCTATTTCCATCAAGTATTTTATTTAATTATTTTAGTTGATTATTTTATCTCATACCACCTTTTCAATACAACTTACCATGATTTTTCTATTGTGATTAAAAATCAAATTTCACATTTAAAATCTCGTGAAATTCTTATTATTATTTTTTATAAAGTACATATTATTTGTTAAAAATTGTATATATATACTACACATCACAGTACCATGGCAGATTATTTAAATTTCAACCGACCAAAATGCTAATGATTTAAATTTGAACACACCTATATGTTTGACCAAATGTCTGGATGATTTAAAATTGAGTCCATAAAAAATTATTTAAATTTGAACACACCAGAAATTTTATGTACTTTTTATTTATAAATATATTGAAAGTGGTATTTATTGGCTGTTATATAAACTATTTTAATATATTTGCAATGAATAAAAGTTTGAATGAATAATTTGTAATGTTCCCAAGTGTCAACTTTATTACCCTGTTGGGGTCCGACACTCGGTATTACCCTGTTGGGGTCTTGTTAGTTTTTTCTTTTAGTTGTTTTAGTTGGTTTAGTTGGTATTACCCAGTTGGGGTCTGTTTAGTTTCGTGTTTTTTTCTAGCGTTGCTAGCGGGATTCTAGGCGGTCTTCTGACCTGTCCTCCCACTTTATTCTCCCGTTGGGAGTTTGTATCTTTATTCGCACATTTGTGCTCGTTTGATTTATAATAGCTCCCCTATCGTTTCGGCAAAAAAAAAATAATAATAATAATTTGTAATGTTATTCATAATGTTTGTGACTTATTAGACACGAACACATAACTCCATACATATTTGCCAGAGGGCGGCTTAATAATTTTTTAGACTTGATGTTGATTAAAAGAGGTAGAAAATAGATAATAACATTATTACTTTTTAGACTTAAACGAACAAGACAGTGAAAATAAGTCATTTAATATCTTTGTCCCGTGCATCTCACGGGGTACGTGCTAGTATATATAATAAGAATTAACTTAAATAATTTTTCGTAAGTCTTTCCCTTCAAAAAAATTAATTACATACTAAAAATAGCAATTTATCCTTTAAAAAAATATTTATAAAAATCAAACTTAAATATACAATCTGTTTTTGTTAAGCGTGTATATAGGACATGTAAATATCACTGCAAAATAAATGTTATATTCCAACGGAAAATCCTATGGTAATACATTCCAATGGAAATTCCAACGGATATTCCAATGGAATAGTTTCCGTTGGAATAGTTCCAACAGAAATTCCAA